CGAAGAGTCGAGAGCCGTGCTCTGTGTGTCGTTGAGAGCATCGCGAGTTGTAGCGTGGAGAGTCTCGAGAGTACGTGTAGTTCCGAGAACAACCAAGGAGAGTCGAAAGCTGTACTCTGGTGCTTTGCGGTGAAGCTGTCTCCACCGTGATAGCCTGATAACCTGAAGGCTGTGTCTCTGATTGTTCCAGCGTGTTTATAGTAGGTTTTCGACGACTGTAAAAAGTGTTATTGGAGCTGTCCTGATTCATATTGGCTAAATAAAGTGTGTTTCAATACTTCATCAAGTGTCGTCGTTATTCACTCCAAATCTACGAACCCGTATGAACGTAACAATTGGTGTCAGAAGCAGAAAAAAAACGCAACAACTGGTGTCAGAAGTGGGTCGCAGTCCGGTTATCCGGGCGTGAGTTCGAATCTCACTTCTGACACCAGTTGTTGCGTTACCCCACTTCTGGCAACAGTTGTTGCGTTATCCACCGTCAGCTGCAAAAGCGCAAATGAACGAGATAGGATATAATGATCAGATAAGATAAGAAAGCGTGGACAGAAAAAAAGCTAGTGGCGCCATCTGTTGATGAAACCAGAACTAAAACATAATTTCTTTAAAGTCCGAAGGCAAAGATGGATTGGAATTAGGATCGTTAACTATAACAGAAAGACTTTTATGAATGTGAAATGCCTCTAGAAAATCCAATTCTGCAATGGACGATGTTTTTTGAATAATTTTGGCAGCAGAAAAATTGAAAGTGTGATTTTCGGACCAACAATGTTGGGCAACAGAAGACTTCTGTGTTTCCTTTTTTCTAACATATGCCTCAGGTTCCTTGATGCGAAATTTCGAGGCTGTCTTAATTTGGCTAATGTAAATTAAACCACACTGGCAAGGAATCCTATAAATGCCCCAGGAATTCATATCCGGAATGGGGTCCTTGAGTATGGGACGGAATGGGGGTTCTTGAGACTTGCAATTCTCTTCCGTTTCTCGACATTCTGGTCACAGGTGCACTACTACCGGGACCCTCGGCCCGGGTCAGGGTACTTCAACCCATTATGCCATACAAGGTTATTCATCCAGGTCGTAGAAGACCTCTTAGTGGCGGCGCAGGCCCCACAGTCTCTGCCCGGCTTTATACAAAGCCCCAGAGGAACAAAAATTCCCCGCTTGCAAGTTAAAAAGGTACGCTAGTCACTTTTGCCTCGGGGCACCACTCCCTCAGCAAGAATCGTTGTAAGTAAATCGGTGCTCCTCCTTGCCATGTCAGTCCCCGCTACGAAGACTGGGGAATCTGAACCTCCAACAAAAGGCCCGACTACATCGACTACTAGCTCCACAACAGCCGAAGGAACGGACACGACAGTACCAGTATGGTCCCTGCCAAGCCTGAACCTACCTGAGTATAAACTCGGGTTCTAGTCCTGTGAAGATAACCCCCGTGGTTGAGACTGTCTAGGTACAGATCCTAGCCAGTACTTCCCAGGCATTCGCCTGAATCAACCCCCGGGGGGGACATTCTGGTCACACGTAACTCATCCGACTTCAGTAATACGGTTTACCTTAAACCTTCATCTGTTTGCCTTCCACCACACTTTAAATCATGTCATCCGACTAAACAAAAGTTAGCTTCATTTTATTCCTATGTTTTCCGTGCTCTTCAATTTTGCTCCTCCAAACTATGCCTTAATGAAGAACTAAATTATTTAAAATCAATAGCTGTTGACAGGGGCTTTTCCCCCAACATTATTAATCAAGCAGTTAAAAAATTCTCATCTTAACACACTAAAAGGCACACTCTTATTTTAGATTATAAAAATTCTGTTGTCATTCCCTTCTTTCCATCAATTAGCTATAAAGTTGCTCATATTTTGCAGAAATTTAACTTTCGGGTCATTTATTCTCCCATCAATAAAATTCCGAGTTCCATACTCAAGGACCCATTCCGAATATGAATTTCTGGGGTATTTATAGGATTCCATGCCAGTGTGGTTTAATTTGCATTGGCCAAAACAAGAGAGCCTTGAAATTTTGCGTCAAGGAACATGAGGCATATGTTAGAAAAAAGGAAACACAGAAGTCTTCTGTTGCCCAACATTGTTGGTCCGAAAATCACACTTTCAATTTTTCTGTTGCCAAAATTATTCAAAAAACATCTTCCATTGCAGAAATGGATTTTCTAGAGGCATTTCACATTCAAAAAAATCTTTCTGTTCTAGTTAACGATCCTAATTCCAATCCACCTTTGCCTTCGGTCTTTAAAGAAATTATGTTTTAGTTCTGGTTTCATCAACAGATGGCGCCACTAGCTTTTTTTCTGTCCAGGCTTTCTTATCTTATCTGATCATTATATCCTATCTCGTTCATTTGCGCTTCTGCAGCTGACGATGGTGGTTCGGTAAAACCATCGAAACTAGTCCTGTGAAAAATTTGAAAATATAACGCTGATTTTTGTGGTTGGACTTCTGAATTACTATTTGTTCGGCGTGTCATTATGTCTTAATTTATGTTGCTTGTTCAAGAGTTCGTGAAAAAACGGACGTAAAATTTAAAATAATGGATGGTGAGATTAAAAATGATGGGAAGATCTACGCAGGAAATGTTTAACATGTGAATTAACAATTTATTATTTAAATCACCTTTATTTATTGAGCTAGCGGTGGCTCTTACAAAATGTATCGCCAGTGGTTTCCTTCATTGCACTCTACTTTCAGCAATTAAGCAAGTAGAAGGGGAAACCCCGTGGGACAGTAAGCAAAGGGGCATCCTCGCCGCCTGCCCTGGGTCATTCAGTTTGAATTAGAAGATAACTTTGCACAAATCAGTTTAATTACAATTTCCAATATCTAGAACAGATGTCATTTCGTTTCACCGCCGGGCTTTCTAATATCTCATAACTGTACGCGGTCATCCACATCGTCGATCAACGTTTGGTGAATTTGGCGAGTAAAACTGCAACGGCGTCAACGGGTTCTCTGCCGAAACGCCAACGGTTTCTTCGCAGATGAAAATCCCTAGGGTGTTTTTTAAGTGAAAACAGATCGATGTGTACATGGACACAGAGTTTGTGCAATTCTTTGACTTCTTGTTTTGGTTTTGTGTAGCAACCATCTTGAAATTGTGCCTTCATAGCGCCGATCTTGGCGTCAAAAAAGAATTGCCAAAAAACAAGGGGCACCCAATTATAAACTTTAACCAATTAAATATTAAATCATATCAGGGGAGTATTAAATAACCAAAATAAATTAACTACTTCTAACCCAAGAAGTACGAATAAGTTACCATAACATTAACAACTGCTTTGTTGTATACCAGTTTTGCACAAAAATTGCGTTTGGCGATCGGAAAATGATGCCAAAATTTCCTAGCGCAACGGTCGTCTCTAATTGGTTGAATTTCTTCAGTTCTCGGCGTGTTTTAATCGCCCATAATTTTTTAGAACAACAAATTGAATTGAATTATCTTTTCGTTGCCATTCCAGAAACAGCAAAAACAAATAAAACGATAGTAACTATTATTTAAGATTTCTGTATAAGTTCAAGCCACAACAATTCAAACAGGATTGTGTGATTATATTACTTATGTATAGATTGTGTGATTATATTACTTATGTATATATATTACTTTAAACCTACTAAATTCTAAAATTTTCGTAACATTTATACAAGGCAATGCATAAATATCTTACGTTATATTTCAGCTGTTGGCGACCCATCCTTATGAGTGTAACTTTAAATGCCAAAATTCAACAATAACATTTCGGTATATAGGAGCCTTAGGTTAACCGTTGATTTAACTTCTCTAAAAAAGTCATGTCTGTCAGCTGAGATTTCCTATTTGTACATATGAGCGAATTAAATGGTTTGTGTTTTGACTGGCGCTGCAATCACGAAAGCTGGAGGCAGTGTCTAAACATAGCTGCGAAATTTTTAAATAAGTGTTTCAGTAAATGTTTTCAACTCTCTAAGAAAGTGTAATGCACCTTTCCTATGCAATGTCTCATTCATCAAATTGAAAAAGGAAATTTCACTTCTTCGAAACTTCAAATAACTTGTTTCGCTGTTCACTATCAACACGAGAAATCCAAAAGAAACCCTGGCACGGAATATTTAGATAAGTAACATTCTGTTCTCTATCAATATATGTTTCTCATCACTAAAGTGCCATTAAATTTTTTTATTATTATTTTCATAAGATTCTAGCATATACAAGTTAGTATAGTAGCAAGTTATGTGGTCTTTTCTTCGTAATATTCCATAGAGACGCCATATCATCAGTAGTCCGTTCTTATCAGCAATTTCACACCTCGGAAGGCCCCCCTTTTCATGCTAGAATTTCTTGAGAGGGAAAAAAAAAAGGGATCTTGGCTTCGATGAGTATAAATTGTGATTTTGTAACTAAGATCCCGACTTTTTTTTTTTCAGTCTCAAACTTAGAATTATGAGCAAATATAAATTGTGACGGAATGTGTTAAACTATATAATAAATTACAATGGTTAAAATAAATAATTTAACTAATGAAAAATAACTGTTATTTATTTTTGCTGAATGCTCTCACACTGTGTATGGATTTATGATTTTGTCAATTACTGGTTTTCTGATATACATGAATTTTGGGAACGTAAATTGTTAATGTTACTTAGTTAAAATATTACGTACATCTCTGTGATGATATATGTCTTTTCTAGTTAGGTCTCAAGATAGGGCATACACATTACCAGTAGCATTTTTTTTTTAACTTAGCTAAGTTGCTTCTAAGACACTAATTTTGAAATAAACTCCTTAACACACTCATGGACACAATCGTATTTTAGGATATTTTCTACTTCTTTCCTTTTCTTTCTATAGGACCTTTTTTTTTTTTTTTTTTTTTTTTTTTCCCTCTTTTATTTTTGGGCCATTTATTTTAAAATTTTATTTTGTCCCATCTTTCTTTTTGGCCTTTGAATTCGTACAAAATGCACGAAGTTCCTTTTTACTCTCCTCAAATACGAAATTGCCCCCCTTTCTATATACCTTTCCTTCGCACCTATGCTAGATTTTTCGCCCATTAGTGCAGAAAGACTTAGCGGGTGCAAAAACAAGACATCTGTCTACTTTGTCTGTCTGTCTGTTTGTCAGCTGATCAAAGAATCTCTCACTATAGATTCTTTGAGCTGATTGTATGCGAAATGTATGGAAATTGTACCTTTTTAACTCATAAAAAAATGCTGAAAAATATTTTACGCGGTTTAAATGATAATATACGTTTTGAAAAGCGCTAATATGTGAATTTCATTAATTTAATATATAGTTTAAGTAATTAAAATCTTAGCATACTAAATCCTGGTTAGTATCCGCCTCCTTTGATATTTTTAATTGTTTTAGTTTTATGTCTTTACGAATAGAGTAGTCTAATTTTAGTTCTTTATTCCAATTTTTGACTTTTATGTAGCTCTTACAAAGTATTTTTGTTTAATTCAGGGTGATGCTGTGGACATGGATTCACCACTTGGAGATCTTAGTGACTGGGTTGCCGTGAAGGATGATTTTTTTGTCAGAACTGAAGAGACAGATCATCCACGTTTTATTTGTGCATGGAATAATGAAGAGACCAAAGTTGCGATTACTCTTCATGAGGGTACTCGCAAAGCAAGTGATCAGAATCATAAAAATAAAGTCTGTTTACTTAGTCTGAAAGAATTATATCATATACACAAACAGTTTTGTTTAATCAATAGCCAGTTAGAATCTTCTTACCCAAAAGATCTCAAACCAAACTATGTTCCATCCAAGAAAAAGTTTGAATATGTCTCGTCTGCTGTAGAATATTACTTAAGTGCAACTATTAAAGCTGTAGGCAAAAAAATTGTTATACCTACAATATTTGGCGAGGATGATGATGATCCGCTAAGCTGTTATGAAGAGAATTTAAATGAATTCAAACTTAGAACTCTTCAGAATAATGTAGAAAAGGCTTATAAAGAACTGGAAGAAATATTACAATTAAGAGAACGAGCAGAATCTTTACTACAGTTAACTACTGTATATACTCTGGAAGATCAGGTTTCCACTAACATATCTGATGCATTAGCTGAATTATATAACTTTCAGTTACAGCCTTTTCTTGAACTCAGAGAAGTATCTCGTAATCGAGTTAAACAGGCTCAATCCAAACTTAGTGAAGAAATTGGACCTAATATCAAGCAGAAAGCAGAGAAAGATTATGAAGAGTGGAATGAACAATCGTTAGTTGCTACAGAAGCATTGCAGCAGTTGTACCATGAATATTATAGGAGGACGTTGAGTTTAGTTCAGGGTAATCAGTTACTTTTCTAATTAGGTTCAAATAAATTATACTTCTTTTATTTAGTACCTTTTCCTTTTTTATATGTAACTTAACTTCAAATTAAGAATTGCTGTTATCTTAATATGAATAAGGTAAGTGTGCTGTTTAGTATATATCTTGAAGTTATCAAGCAATTTAAGTTCCTAGTGCTTTTTTCGTCATTTTAGTTTTAGCTGCTCATGATTTTAAAAAAATTACACTGTTCATAAAGATAACAGAAGAAACTATATGCAAGAAATGTTTGTAAGTTTTGTATAAAAGTATGAATTTTTTTTTAAATTATGAATTTCTCCAGCAAAAGCTGGAATTTCTCTCTTCCTCCGCCCCAGAAAAATACAATATAAAAATTTTATATATATTTTTGAAGTATGTGGATTAGTTTTGACTCTCTGTCTTAAAACTTTCAACAATAATGAAATAAAAGGAATTAATGTATGTAAAAGTTCATAATTTATTTTTAGTGCATTAGACAGTTTTATAAGGTAACTTTCTTAACTGACTTTAACTCATCTTTGAATTATGATAGTCTTTCAGTTGGCTGTGAAAATATTGATATATATTAAAGCTTATAAATTTTCAGTTGAATTGGTGATAATTTAGTGCTAGAGAAACTGCTTTCAACATAGTTGCTTTAAAAATGATATGTTAAAGAGTTTTCTTAAATTTCTTTCCTAAATGTGAATTTAGATTCCTTAATTAAAATTGAAAGGAAGTGTTAGCTGAGTTCATCTTTGCTTTTAGTACTCGAGCGTATTTTAATGTATTTTAGCTCTAAGAATAATTATTTTCCATTTTGGTATCGATTCAGTAAAATTTCTTATTAGTAATATAAAATATAAAATCAAAATATGCAGTTGCTGAAAGTAAGATGGTGAATTGATATTGTTAGAAGAATAGGTAGTTTGGGTTTTCATCCGCAGAGAACCCGTTGGCGCTTCGGGAAGGAACCCGTTGGCGCCGTTGCATTTTTACTTGCCAAGCTCGCGGTTCACCGATGATGAGCCGAGCTGTAAGCGTGATATTTATTATTTTGTAAACGTGATTTTTAGTGCATGTAAATTCAAGTTAGCAGACAAAACAATATATTAAGCATATGGTAGTAAAAATTCACAGATAATATGCATGTAGAAGTAAAACTAACCGGTTAAACATGATATACGGATATAAATTTGTATTAAATTCAAGATAGCACAGAAAAGAATATATTAAGCATAAGACAATATATAAGCATTTATAATGGAAATAAAAAATATAAATTAGTATTAATGTACTGAAATTACCCGGTTAAACGTGATAAACGAAAAAAAATTTGTCTTAAATTCCAGTTAACACGGAAAACAATATAATCCTTACATCAGCAGTGGTTTGCTAATTTTGATGACCATGGTGATGCATCAAACTATTCTGTCATCTTTGATAATCAATCATATTTTTTATTTCAATTTAATGATCTATTTATGTCACACCTGCAATCCTCTGAAAGGTTATTGTTAGAAAAGCATTAACAAGATATTACCTTGTTAAAATTTTACGCCATAAAAATTGATTTATTCTCATAATTTTAGATCACAATAACCAATAATAAAAATAAAAGCATTACTTAAAATGCACATGCATATTTTTGCTGCCTACAAAAACAAATTATTTTACGGGTTAAAAACCTCATAGTTCTGCATGCTTACACCTGTTAATAATTAAGAACACAACATCAACATCCGTGTTACAAATTAGCATTTGCCTCTCCCGCCATATTTTCCTTTCATCCCGAACCGAGAACCGGCATTTATCTACCAAAATATTTCTATCTATTCGTCGTTAAAAAAATTCAGAAAAAATAATAATAAATAAGAGAAGAATAATATAAATCTGCAAATGCGAACAACAACAGTGATAATTCAACAAAGTGAACACAAGAGGAATGGTTGCAAACTTCGAACAAGCGAATAGGATAAATCCGCGGGGTTACCAGGTTTGAACTATTATCGCCAAAGTTGGCGATGTTTACATTTACCGGGTTCTCTGCGGAAGTGCTTCCGGTAGTTTTTTATGATCTACACTCCCATTGAAAAGTTATGAACTCATTTTCTACTCTTGTGAATTGTTGTTGACAACTTTTGTGAACTGTTGTATGTTGTTGACTATCTTGGAGAAAGCATTTATCTGCATGTCTTAATGTATATTTTAATAACACATCTAGTCCCATCTATTTTTTCTAAACATTCATTAAAAAGTAATAAAAAATACAAAATTTCTTTTATGTGTGATACATTAAAAATATAATAAGCAGTTCGGAATTGATGTACCTTCTGTACAACATCAACAACATTATCAGTTTGGTAATTAGTAGTCCTGTGAATACTTATAATTATTAAATGCATATTTCATAAATTAAATTATTATTTAAAATTTTTTTCTTTAGGTATATTGTTAAAAACAAAGATTTAAATTAAACTTGAGTAAGAAATTAACATCAATTTGCATCGCACAGTAAAATTTATTTTTAATAAATTTATGAAGTATTTGTAATCTGAAAACTTATTTACATCTATAGTTACAAAGGTTAAGAAAAAGGAATTGCATTTTTTGCATTATATGGTGGAATTTATTTTCATGAACAAAAAGGGCTTAATTTATAATAGTATTCATTTTTTCAGAAGTCAAATAATCTTCAGTGACTTATTCTGGAATTAATGATGTTATTCTTTCCTGATTTTATACTTTTTTAAGCTTAGGTTAAATTATTTGTATTATTTTTTATTTATCTGTGGAAGTTTTTTTGTATAATTTTATTTTGCTAACAAGGAAAATTGTGTTTTGAAGGTCAGAGAGATAGAATGATTGAAGATAAAAAGAAGTATGGAAAAGTTGCTTTTGAACTGCATGGTATGCCTCGTTTGTTAAAATTGGAATCCTTGGTTTGGCAAGAAGACTTAAAACTGCATAATGCAATTAAAGCAACTAAGGAATTCCAACGTGACAAAATTAAGAGTCAGGTTAAAAATTAGTTATTTTTCTGCTTCAATTTGATAGAAGTTAATATTTCAGATTTATGGCTTTATGTGTTGAATCCATAATGAATGCTTTTAATTCCATGTACTGTACTTTTTAGTTAGCCTATATCAATGATGATAGTGGTGGAGTGTATGAAATTGAAAGGATTGAAGAAGAAATAACTAATGCTCAAATAGGTGTCCTTGATGCTCATCTTGAAGTACTGGATGTTGAAGAACGCTTATACAAGAGTCAGTTAGCTATTTTGAACAAAGAGTACAAAGGTAAAATGAATATCAATTTATGAACATCGAATGTTTTTGGATATATGCAGTATAAAGGCTAAGATCCGGAATCATCATGACTATGATCATTCTTGATTTTGGAAATTTTCGTATGTTAGATCATTAATTTAAATCTAATAAGATGACATGTAGAAATTACAATATTAAAAATATAAATGCCTCATAAATGCATCACTATTTCATAATGATGCATTTATGAGGCAATTTTAATTTCTTTAAACAGTGAATACGAAACGGCTTCTACTGTCTCAATTTTAACTAAACTGCATTTCTATGCTAATAATTGCTTTATCCATTTTTGAATTATATTTTTCAATGGCAGAATCTGCTGCATAAGTTTCTGCTTTGAGATTTTCTACTGATGTATTAAATACAGTACAGTCAAAAGTCGTTAATTCGGACACCCATAATCCGGAATGATCTATATACCGGACCGACGCATGCGCATAGGCGTAAGACCTTTACGGCTGCGAATATGGGTGTGCGCAAGCGCATAATACGTTTACGCATGCGTGTTTAATGTACAACAGACGGTATAAACTAAGCTAAAATTATCTAATTCAGTTAATGTTGCAGATTGTGTTGTTCCTTAATCTTCAAATTGGATCTGGCTTATTATTTTTTGCAGACTGTTAAAGCAATTTTATAAAAGTAAGCTTGAACTTTCGATTATGACAAATAGAATTTCCGATATATATTTACTAATATGTAAAAGATCTACAAAGCGAAAGTATGTTTTGAAATCCGAAATCTGTTTATCAATTTCACGCTGCTCTGCGGCAGGGGGGGGGGCAGAAACGCTGCGGCGCGCAATGAATTGGAAGTTGATCTGTCAGCACAATTTTTATCTTCAGGGCAGGTGTTTTTATTTTATTTGGCTTATAATTCCTTACTGAATGTAGTATTTCATCTGGATGTACACCGTCTTTGATATGATTTAAATCAAGTTCCTCGTCATTATAATTCGCTTCCGATAGTGAAGAAAGTGACAGAAAGGTTATTGAAAACGAAATCATTTCGATTGACAAAGTCGGTATTCTCGACACAGCAATTATAGGACTTGAACAGCGGAACTTTGTAACTCAACAAGAAATTATGTCTGTTTAATAGAATTAAATAGAAAGTATTATCACATAAAATGAAGCAACTTAAACAACTTACATTGAAAAAAATGTTTAATAAAGTAAACAAATAAATATTAAGCTTTTTCTTTTTGTAAATTTTGATACCCTTTAGATCATAATTGTTCTTTATTTCATAAATTACGGTTTCATATTTTTAATTTTGTAATTTCTGCATGCCATCTTACCAGATTTAAACTGATGATCTATAATCCGGAAAAATCGATAATCCGGAATCGCCGAAGTCCCGACTAGTCTGAATTAACGACTTTTGACTGTACAAAGTCTTTAATCCGGACTCATCGGGACTTTGGTGATTCCGGATTAGGGGTTTTTCCAGATTATAGATCATCAATTTAAGTCTGGTAAGATGGCAGATGGCATGCAGAAATTATAAAATTAAAAATATGAAACCGTAATTTATGAAATAAAGAGCAATTGTAATCTAAAGGGTATCAAAATTTACAAAAAAAAAAAAAAAAAAAAAAAAAAAAAAAAAAACTTAATATTTATTTGTTTACTTTATTAAATATTTCTTTCGATGTAAGTTGTTTAAGTTGCTTTGTTTTATGTGCTAATACTTTCTCTTTAATTCTATAAACAAACATAATTTCTTGTTCAAATCCTGTAATTGCTGTGCCGAGAATACCGACTAACTTGTCAATCGAAATTTTTTCTTTTTCACTAACCTTTCTGTCACTTTCTTCATGCCTTTATCCATTTTTTGCAGCAATTCCACTTTTTGTTTGATGGACGTCGAAACATGCTTTTGCTTTGTAGATCCTTTGGCAGCTCCAGGATTGGAAACTCTTTATGAGATAAGCGAAAGTTCAGGCTTACATTTTATAAAATTGCTGTAACAGTCTGCAAAAAATAATAAGCCGGATCCAATTAGAAGATTAAGAAACAGTGCAATTTGCAACATTAACTGAAATAGATAATTAGATCATTTTAGCATAGCTTATACCATCCGCTATACATTAAACGCGCATGCATAAACATATTATGTGATTGCGCAGAAAGTTTGTAGCTTTGAGGTCCGGATTATGGATCATTCCGGATTAAAGACTTTGTACTGTATTGCAATATCTAGATCTTCTAGCTGAGCTTGAATTTATTGTAATGTAGCAAAATGAGTTAAGATTTCCTTCTTAGAGTTCGCTTCACTGAAAATTGCTTTTGAAGTACTAAAAGTTTTTGTAAAATTGGAACTAATATGCATATATTTTTTAAGTAGTAGTTCCATATTGAAATTAAATTGCTCTAGCAATAGTTACTGGAAAAAACATTGGAAATGGAAGTAACCTTTTGATTCAGTGATCACTTCAGTGTCACCACTTTGTTTTGAGGATCTTAAGAATTCTACCCAAATCTCATCACTCTATACTTTATTTGCAATATATCTTTAGAGTGCCAATTTATCCATAACAAAAAAATATTCTACAGTAGTTACATAACTATTTGCACTAACTTATCTAACGTTGTGCAGCTTGCTATGTGACTTACAGAATGAATGTTACGTTGAATCTAAATTAAACAAAAACTTGAGTTGTCATTTCTTGTTAAATAATTAAAATTAATTAGCTATGTTGGAGTTACAATAGACAAATAGGTATTCTTAATACATATTGTGGTGATTTTAAAATTTTGTTAACCAACCTGTTGAGTATGTGCATTCAGTGTTAAATCCATTTTTCATAAAACATTTTAGCTTGATCCATTAACATTGGAGCGGACTCTCCAGTAGCACACGCTCCAAGTCACAGTATTTCAGACATTCAGTTATCATATTGTCATGGCGATTGCTTTTATTATAATGAATGATTTTTCTATTATTTATTGCAAATAGAGTATCTAAATCCATCAAAATGCAATAAATTCCCTTTTCTGTCATTTATTGTGGACTTTCTTCTGCTTTAGTCTTCATATAATTTTGATATAGATCCATCTTTTGCTACAAATTTATTTTTTTCTTGATTCCTATCGAAACATGCTTCACTCAGCGCATCTTTCTACAGCTTTATAATTTGAAATTTTCTTCAACTTAAACAAAAATTCGGACGTTAATTTTAATGTAGAGGTGGACCAAATTAGAAAGTTAAGCAAAAGTGCAATTTGCTAAGTTAAACTGACCTTAAATTTCTTGGAATCTAGTTCTTTCTCCTTTCACAACTGCTGTGCCAACAAATGAAAATTAGTATGAGCAACATCCCTTTCAAATATATCTTAAACAAATATATCACAGGGCTTCACTTATTGGTTTGGTAAGAGGGAAAAATTATAATCTCCCACAGTGACTCAAGAGCTGAAAGTGTGGTCCAGGCCAACATCAGTCAGTGTACTGTAATTTCCTAGCCAACAATTGTTTGAAAATGAAATGTAGGAATCTCTGCTAGCTGGTAGAGAAATTGCTTTTTTGAGCACACCTGAATTTTCTTGAGTGTCATATTCTCCGTGCTAGACTTTGTAAAAATTTTTTTTCCTGGTGGTCCCTAGATCCAGATTAGAACATTCTGAATATTGGATGACCGGGTTTTTGGACTTTGCATTGTATATATAATTCCTATCCATAATACATTCACTACTGGCATGTAAAAAGACACTACCTTCCAGATACCAGTAAGCTAGTCTTGTGTAGTAATACCCAAAATTAATTCCAATATGAGAATTCAGGGTTGTTTTAATCAAAAATATGATTTTAATGTTTATGTAATTTATTTAATTATTTGTAAATGTTTTAACAATTTTAGTATTATATTGGGTCTCTGGAAAGTTCTGCAATTTTTTTTATGATAAATACAAATGTAATAGCTCAAAAACTGCAGAAAATTTAATTGGATCATATAAGCACCATTTTGTTCCCTGACTTTTTGCCATCTTTCGGGAAGCTGTAAAATTCTTTTTTTTAAATTCCAATAGGTTTATTCTTAAAGAAGTTAACATAATGCTATTTGACAGTCTCCAAGGAATCAAACTGCCATTCAGAGAATTTTGAAGTGACCTGAAAAGAAGAAAATTGGAGAGGGCAGTATCTAGTGAATATGGGGGGGGGGGATCAGAAACCATCTCTGCTGTTACTCGATTAGTCTTTACCTGACATTCATTGAAATGTGAGGCTGACCATTGTCATAATGGAAAAGACATCTTAAGATTGGTTAATTCCAGGTGCTTCACTTTGATTTCTGCTTTCAGAACTGTCATTTGGAAATAGTATTTTTCTCAACATGTGGTTTAATTTGGTAGCAACAATGCCTTTGTAGTTCCACTATACATAATGCATTACTTTTTTTAAATGCATCCCCCCTCTTACTTTTCCTAAAGTACCTTACCCATGATCTTTTTCTTACAACACTTTTGTATATTGTCTGCTTTTATCTCCAGCAATGAGCCGTTTCAAAAAAGGAATTTCTTTTCAGCAAAGAATCACAAACCGAAACTCAAGCAAGCGTATTCTATTCAATTAAAATATGGGATATCCACGCATCTTAGTGGCCTACATACACAGTCTTCTTCAAATAATCATCTACTAATAGAAAATAGTGCACAAGTAGTTGATGAAATTATAAAAGATTCCATAAATACTGATGACCTGTTTGATGAACATACTTTGTTGAACAAGTTAATTTAAAACCAAAGGAATTTGACACTGTATTTTGGTTCAGGTTCTGAAAAGAACTGAATACTATTGATGAAAAGTAGAAAGCAATTTTTAAGGTGAAAGGACTGATATTTCATATTGCAGTATTTCTAAAATGCTCAAGTTTGCAATGTCCTTGCTTGGGACTTCTGCTCCCGTTGAGTTCACTTATGGGGAACATTTCGCCTTCATAAAAGGGTATGTATCTACTGTTAACTACT